TCGCCACCGAACCAAGCCGCCGCTCCTTGCCGGCTTCACGTGCTAATTTCTTCCTGGTGCACGGAGGCTAATGATATCGCCCGACGCTATCAATTATCGTCCACCCATGGTTTCCCCGACGTTCGACGATCGAGGGCTCGATCGGTTTGCTTGGTCGATTTTCGTGCGTTTCCTTGGCCGACCCGTTCGAGACCAAGGCTTCCTTTCGAGACTCGAAATCAACGGTCTCGTCGTTGTCGTTCGTTTTTCGGAACTTTGCTGATTTTGATTGTGGGTTATCATTTTTGCGGGGTTTCCTCGAAACTCTCATAATGAAAATAATCTTTTCATGGTCGAAGTTTTGCGCAAGATCGATTTTTGCTAGTTACTGTTCGGTTACTAGTAGTTAATAAGAATTGTATATACGTTTTATGGTATTGTTTGTAGAGGAATGAACGTTCATTAGTGAAATTTTGGAAAATAGAGGTTAAGAAACGAAGAATTGTGATGCGTATTCGATTGATCGTATCAGTCAATATCGAGTTGAAATGTTATTAATGTTTATAAAGTTTAATACCCGTCAAATTATAGAGCTTCGCGAATCTGGCGTTAAAGCGTGGGATTTTTGTGGGGAATAGATAGATAGAATGGTTTGATAATCTTTTCAAAGCGTTCATCTTGGTATTTTCTCGCGAGTTGACAGTTAGACTATTCTTCTATCGTTTCGGATAACTTGCAGAAACTGGCAGATTTCGTGTACCGTTAATGGAAACGTGTTACTTTGATGCGTTCCTTGGATATTCTTCCGATTTATTGAAGCTTTTAGTTACACTTTTATCGCGGGACGAGAGTTCCGCGCTCGATTCGCAGCTTCCAGTTTTTCTTTTATCTAAGAAATGGAATTGGAGATAGTTCTCGGGAGATTACGGCGGGATGAATTTCCTTCAGAGGCATCTCTGGTATGAGTAACACGAATGAATATGGATTTTGAGTGATATTGTCGTGAGTAACGGGTTCTAGATAAAGATTTGGCCAGGAACCAGAAGACAGGAATCTTGACGCATTAATTCGACGTGCTGAACGCGCCGGCTACTTTTAGAGAAAAGGAAATCGGGGTTTAAATTCCGGAGGAAATCGGAATGTGCTCTACGATAATTGCATTATGTATGTTATAATTGATACGATTTAGAAGATGGACGCTGTGCTACTGAAACTATTTGAATGATTGAAAAATTGCAATCTTATGTGTGTTAGTTAAATTTCATGCAAATGTATTTCGGTTCAATAACACCAAGATCTGCTTATAATTCTATATTCCATCGTCTGTGAACGACATCTAATTTTTTCCTTAATTCTGTGCAGGGTCCAGTTCGTGAATAAAAGGATGACCGATGTTCCCATCTTCGGCTAGCCGTGAAAATTATGCGATCTACCTTCACGGTAAGTGGACAACGTGTACAAACAATGTGTACTTGTTCGCGAGAGAATATTCTTGCTGTGCGCTTCGTTCTCGCTAAAATTCTGTGGATTTTATGAATTCAGAGCGTCCATTAATCCGTGAAATACAATACAGCACGAAGTTCAACGCATTTTTATCAAATATTGAATTTAACCAGATATTCAACGAAGACACTAAATACCAGCCTCATTTCTTTTCTTTATAACATTTCTTCTTTAGAAATGTGAATCTGCATAAACATTTGCATCATGTCTATCATTGAGCAACGAATAGGTTCTAGCTGTAACCGGAGAATAGTGAAATGCAATTATTGCACAGAAACAGCATTGTCTTTTCACGCAGATGCAAGTCAGTTCGGTGAGTCAGTGAATGGGATTCCAAGAACGGTTAAACGGATTGCAAATAGAAAAAGTCGGTCGGTATCGCTATAACTCGAGATAACTGCCCGACGTTAAAGAGACAAGGTGTCTCGTCGCGCATAGAAACTGAACTATTAAGTGCGACCGATTGACCGTCCAAGGTTCGACTTACCATTTCAATTTAACGCGCTCATTGTAATCGTTGTTTCTGAAACAGTGTCGTAAAACTAAGGAAGCTTTCCGCTCTTCGAAACTAATAACAGTGAATTCCGACGAGCGCGGATCGCGAGCTTTTCATTCGCAGCATTATTATTCATATCCTTTTGAAGTAATCATTAGAACTGTTCCCTGATTTTCACCTCATTTTTTCTTTATTATATCGTAAACAAACTTCCGTACACGGTAAACATAGATGAATTAATAGGAACGTTGAATGCTCCGTTTGAAAAGTTCAAAGTACTCGGATATTCGAGAACTTCCTTCGGAAAACAACTTATATAAAATGAATGTCTACAAGTATCATGAGTTCGAAGTACGTTTCCTCTTTCTTCCATTTTCCCCCCGTCCGTAAAGTTCCATGGTTCACACACTGAATCGAACAGGTAGTCAATTACGAAGTTTGAACGCTTAACAGGGTTAAGCGTTAACAATTGAAGGGAGGAAGGTAAATTCGGGCAATCCCTCGATTAACCTGTTCAAATCGCGAAGAAACATCGGCGAAACTTTGTAGAGAGGCGATTTTGGCAATGCGATACCGTTCCCGGTATCGATTCGAGGGGTTCGATATTTGGGACGAGGCTGACCGGTCGTTGCCAAATTTTTTCTTCTCGACCGTCAGTAAATTTCCGGGTAAACGGGGGAACTGGCCAAGGGTTCGTTCTTTCGAGAAATCGCGCGTTCTCTTCGCTCCGAATACGTTCTTCGGGAATCGCATAGACCCGAAAGAATAGGCGGCCGCTTAGACATGAAAAAAAAAGGTCCGACCTTTGGATCCTTGCTGTCATAAGTAGACCAGAGGAACGCAGCTATCGGAGAAACGAAGAGAACGTTTCGAAACCGTTTTCCAATGAACCGAGTCCCTATTATTTCGAGTTGATTAACATAATTGAACCTTTTCTCTTCCAATCCAGGCTATCGTCTTCGTCTAGTTACTACGATCGCTAGATTTTGATGATAGGGTCCACTCGTACAATAATAAAGTGGCAAACACTTCTTAATTATCGTCATTACATCCTCCTAATATCGAACGTACGCGATACCTACAATTATAATAAATACATAACAGCGTGCACCGCCGTCGACATAAATATCCTCTATTAATACAAACGTAATCTTGCACACTCGTTGCAATTATAATCCTCGCATATACGCAATATCTACCATCTACAGAACTCAGAGTAACGATAATTCCGTGATACATCGAACCCTGCTTTCCATTTCAACCGAAAAATCCCATCGAACCTTCCGAGACGTCTGGGACCCTTCTTACGAAATAAAATCCACTAAAACCTACGGGCAGCGTCGTACACACGCCGAATTCCGTATCTGAAGCGTTTATTCGATCCAGCCCCGGCAGCAGATTGATCCTTTCGCGGTCGGGCGTAGAGGCCGTAGCGGAAATAACTGACGAACCGGTGCGAAGCATCCCGGCGCGGTGGCCGCCATATTTTCGGCGAGAGAGCGAGAGAGGAGGTGTGCGCTACGAAATGGGACTCCGGGTCTGTTGACGCTCGCCACGAGAGAGCCAGCCCCGCGGACTATCGATCCGGCCGGAACGAGCCCTTCTGACTTATTCAAGGTATCTCGATTCCCAACGTCGATGTTGCCTATTCTATTCGCGGCCCGACACGGCCCGCCGACCGACGCCGCGAATACTATCCCGTCCGGCTGTAATAGAAATAGAATGTCGGTTGAATGGCATCTGACGGTCCTCTAATCGGATGGAAATGCCGAATTAGAGCGCCGATGGCGAACTGCGGCAGATAGCGGGAGAGAGATAGGTTTGACGGGGCGAATTTGGGGATGGAGGGATGAAGAGGAGCTAGGACTCTTCGTATATCGAGCCATCCGAGGATTTTATTCGGTCGGTCGTTAGTCGAGTTCGCGGCTGGATCGACGTTGCTTTATCGACGCTACCGAGCGTTTGATACGATTCGTATGACAATACGTTGTCTAAGATATTTCTAAGTATTCAAGTGGAGCTATTTGAAAATTGTTTTGGGTATTTAATACTTTCGAGGTAGCGATTCCGAAATGAGGAAATTGAAACAGTGACTTCGATACAGTAATTCTAGTGTTAACACGTTAACACGTTAGCGTCACGTATTTGTAACGGTCGTGATCCTATGTTTTATGTAATAAAAATGAAATTAATCCTATAGATATTGTTATTAGAATTTATAAACTACGACATTATATTTAGGAACTAAATAACTCGTTTCAGTTTTATTTTTCTAATAGTTTGTTTAGAAGATTTGAATCGAAGAAAGCATTATAATCGAGGAGACCGTCACCGAAATAAGCGCTGGTAGCGATCGTGTTAAATATCGAACGATCTTCATATGTTTTTCCTAAAGTAGACCTTCCACGGAGCAAACTGCAAACTCTACTGACATTCTTTGCCTAGGTCGCTTAGGTTCATCTTTGCGAATAACAGTTACTCATTCGACTCTCGCGCTATCGTTTAATTCAACGGATGGCAATAATTTGATTTGATCGCGCGTTACCGTTGACCACGGCACCACTGGAAAAGTCTAGTTCCGGTCATCGGTGACCGCCACGGCATGCAGCGTATCAGCGAGCTGGGGAACGAGTTTCTGCTGGATTTCGCGGCCGGATCGAGGTTCTGGCGAATGTAGAACCCGAGCTTTCCCGGTTTTCCCGCGGTGCCGGGGAAACTCGCCGCCGCCCGCGGCGAAGGCGACGTCGACGGGGCGATATGGCGGCGAGAGACGCAACGCGCGACGATCGATTCTTCGGGACGACGGAGGATCGTTACGTAAGTGCGGAAACAGAGACGTTCTCGCGGCCGAGAGAACGACGCCGATTATTTTTGGAGGAGCGAGAAGCGGTTTACCTCGGACCAGCGGGACCAGCGACCAACCAGAATTCCACTGCGTCGATCGTCGCGCGGCTGCTGGCCGTGCTCCTTCGAGCCGGCGATGCCTCTGCGGCTTCGTGCGCCGGGAAAAAAAGTTGTTTGGCTGAATCCGCGCGCCTTGCGCCTCGCGTTCTCGACACCGGGAAATTAAACGAAGCTCCTTTGGAAGGACTCCTTTAGGAGCGAAGATACGATCTTCCAGCAGGTTTTTGCGCGTCCGTTTTAGAAATCCGTAGGTTTTTTCTGTGGGTTTCTTAGCTGGCTTATTCTCCGGTCGAAAGTGGGACGAATATTCGAAAGGAAGATGATTTGTCTCGCGGCGTGTGCTATTTCAATTCGATTTACGTCGCGGTCGTTGCGATGGATCTTATTTAGAGAATACAGAGAAAAGAATGAGAAAGCTAGGATTAAATCGAATGATAATCGAGTAATCTATCGATGGCAATTAACGCGTTGAGTGCCGCGCAAAATGTACAAAATGAAAATAATCTATTATCAGATTATGTGATTGAAATGCACTATTATTATCTCAGGTTTATCTCGTTGAATGTCACTACATTAGGTAGTGTTACTAGTAATAATTAAAAGCTTCCAAACAATCATCGTTTAATTGAATGAATTATAGTAATTCGATTTGGTTGAGATCACCGGTGGCCCCCATGGCATCCAACGTGTTAATTCATTGAGGAATAATAGAATGAAACGAGATAAATCTAATGAAAAATTCAAATCACATTCGTACACCATTTTCTTCGCAAATGCAGACCTACGGTGTCCCACGAACGCACTTGAAACTGCGCATTTCTCCGCGTGATTCCGCTCGTTCGCGAACAAGAAGGAGCCATCGCCCACCGGAACGGTCGCGGTGACTTCGATCGGCGCGCGTCAGCGTTTTAAATTGCGAAGTTTCGGAAACGGCCTCTCGACCGAACGAGCGAGCGCGGGCAACACCGTATCAGCGGGGTCCAAATCTTTTTCCTTTTTTCACTCCCCCTTCTACTTTTTTTTTCCCCCGTGGAGCGGCGTCGAGACGACAGAAATTGGTCGCTGGCTCATCGATATACCGGGATGATAATGGTGGCTTTCAACGTGACGTTGGCTCGCCCTGATACTTTGGCATTGTATAAACACAGCCAGCAACGGTCGGACTAATTAAGCTTAATTACGGTCATCCAGGCCCATTAATTAATTCGTCGTCCTCGCACCTGCTCGCAGGATACCTATCGGCGGACGGCGACGGCCGAGCTTTCCGTTATCCGTTCGCGGATCTTTCGGAAACGCGGGTATCGATTAGCCGTCAAGAGGAGAGAGAGGCCAAGCTCGCCGCTCGCGTCTCCCGCCGCGATCGAATCGACAAAACACTCGGTTCTCGGAAGCTCCTTCTTCCTCCTTCTCGGCAACCACCCCGCCCCGCCCGCTCGCCGGTTAATCCGCCGTCTGCGATTCGGGTAATAAATCTAGGCCCGACGCAGAAGGAGCCCGATCAATCGGACAGGTGGCGACTGTGCGTCGATCCCTGGAA